TGAACCGAAGCCTGCTTTGACCATACTAATGACTCTTTACTGAAATAGTTCATGTACTGGCATCCAATAACTTAAATATTGCTGTTTGCAAATAGTCCTGAACTGATTTAATCTCTCTGTTATTTCTAACTTAATGGTTCACCCTGTTCTGTTTTCCAGTTGAGCTATCGGCTGCTTAACAGGAATGTTTTATTTGTGTTAGTTTAGAAAGTGTGATGTCCAGTGCCAGCTGTCCCATGCCAGCACAGCGTGTACCGTCCTTTAAGCCAGACACAGCTTGATGGCTAACGAGTTGAACATTGGTATTGTCCTGAATGTTTTCCATTAATGCCTCTGCAGGTAGGGCAGCAGCAAATGGAAAGGCAAGCTCAAGAAAATACCATGGCATCTTTAGGGTCTTCAAAATTAATAGTAAAAAAAAAAAATAATAGTAAATAGGGGAGAGGATAAAAGTTTTGTATTGGTAGGTACCCTTGCACCCACACATACTTAGCAGGAAGTTTTAGGTGGCTGCTTGTCTAGCATGGGGGGCCATAACTCTCCCCTCCTCAGTGTTTTCCTTCCATTTCTAACTTCATTGCGTTCCTTTTTTCTGGGGACTCACGTCATTTTCTCTTCCACCTTCTCTCTTTCCATCCCACTGCATGCCTCTTTCCTTGGTCTGACCTCAGAGAAGAGGAAGAGTATGAAGAAGAGGAAGAAGAACAGCCAGTCACAGAACCCAATACTGAGGATGAGGGGGAGGAAGAGGCCAGTAGGCAGGTCAACGCCAGGTACTGGGTTTTAGCCTCGTCCCTCCACCTTTTCCTCAGCCTCTGGCATGAACTCACCAGCACAGTGTGCAGCAGCATCTACCTTTTCACTTGCATTCCTAGATTGCCTGTTAAAGCCACCCGCAAGGAAATCTTTTTGCATTTTAAAGCTTCATCAGTATGAGTGTGTTAATGGAAACATGGTTAATGATGTAGGCTCAATGCACTAAGAACTGTCAGCGCTCACTGCCTTTGTACAAAATGAGTAACACCCATGAATCTTAAAAGATTCAGCAGAAAACATAACTTCTAAGCATGGCTTAGGTTTATCTTTTTAGTTAAGTCAATGGTGAAATGTTGCAGTGCTTTGCCGAGTTAGGATGTTGCTTGGTTTCTTAGGTTTTCATCTCTATTTTCATGATATAACCTTATTAGTAATATCTGTTGCTATGAAGAAGATCGACATTTTTTGAATGCTGCCTATGATTTCTATCAATTTTGCTCATGTTTTGGTAAGAAAGAACTACAGAGAGGCAAAGCTGATAATATATATCGTTTTATACATACCTGCCCATTTGTGTATATATGGATATAAACTAACCACCTATCAAAACAATATTCTCATGTAAAATTTTCCACTTACTTCTGAGGTATATATGGATTTGGCATCTGGCAACTTTATCCTAGTAAATTGGAAGAAAGAAAATATGTTCTTTCTTCCAGACAGCCATTTGATTTAGGTTAAATTGTTTGGCTTTGCAATTCGGCAAATGAGATTGGATTTTTTTTTTTTTTTCAAATAAACCACATTCATGCAGACGCTATACAGCATGGAAGGAAGAAAGGAAACTGTTTAATTTGCGAATTCCAAAGAAAATACTGTACTGTTGTTATTAATATCTTCCAGTCTGCAAATCTTGCCAATGGCTGCCTGAAATTTCAAAATTAAGTGATAATTTCCTCAAATCCAATTCTTACAAGTCAAAGCTAAGACACAAGTTATTAGTAAATCACATGACTATACTAAAATACTGTTAAAAAAAATGAGGAAGAGCCATGTAAACGTCATTATATGCTTTTAGGTTATTGGTCTTTTAAAATAAGAGTCACTCTGAGATAACTGGGTGATATTCCCATGACTTTTGTAAATACCTCCTTTCACTGTCACTGTAGCGTAACAAAAGTGATCCATACCCTGGCCGTTCGTGTTAGATGCTGTCAGGAAGGGTAGGACTAGCCTGGCTTCACCGACTCCTGTCACACACAGTGGGTGCAATAGATGAAGGTTTCCAGATTGCCCACTGTGCTTCTGTTGTGGGAACGATTACCTGGTATATACCTAATGATTAACTTCATAATATCCTAACATATAGAACATGTATTATGTTTTTGTTGCATACTCTGTGCCAAACCCACGCTCCCCAGATAAGGGCCATGCCTTGCATGCCTGTAGGTGGATTGCAGAGGTGGTCTCAGGAGAATGAAATCAGCCACCTGCCGAGTGATCCAGCCTAAAGCTCATGCACAGTGTTTATGCTGGAGATACAAGTGAAAACAGATACCTGGAGTGCAGATCCCATGGCTTTTCACCTGCCTTGCTGCTTCTGTCACTCACCAACACCTGCCTTTGGTAGAGCAAAGCAGATATGTTTTCTGTTGCACTTGATGCTATTCTGCAAGTCTCTATCTAACCCCAACATGGGGTGCTGACACTCGAAGAAATTAGTGCCTTCATACCTAGACAAATGATCTGATAACGTGTTGCTTTTGAAATCACTCTAAACCTTAATTTTGACAAAACAGAGCTGGTTGAGTATTTTTTATTTTTATCTTTGGTGGATGACCGTTTTTAGTAAAAATACCAGATCACCAGGGATGACGATAATCAGATATCTGTCCTTCAAGAGGCAGTCATGCAGATTGTATCTTGAAGCATCTATACTCTGTGGACCATGTTATCCAGTGTGTTGAGACTGCTTTATACTGCTCTGACAATGCTTACAACCTAACTTGAAATACTTGAAAATTGTTCAGAAAATGGTTGTGAAAATGTTCGTGAAAGCTAGTTCTGAAGCCTGTAGGTTAAATCCCTTCCTTTCCTTTAAGCTGAGTCACTTCCATTCCTCAGTATTTCCAACCCCAAGAAGAATCCCACTGGGATACAAAGATGTGAGTTTTCTTACTTTATTTAAAAAGAGATGATGATTGGCTAAATTTGGGAAGTTTTTGTTTGCCTTTGACTTTATTTTTTTTCCTCCAAGCGATACTATCTATTGATCTCTCTTTTCCCTGTTTTTCTCCCCTTCCCTTTCTCATGGTGTTTTCCTCCTGCAGTGGGGTCCCAGGTGCGTGGGAGGCTGTGAATGAAAACCTGTCACGGTGTTTTGATTCTTCAGCTGTCTCCAGTGCCATTTCTCCAGCTGAGAGGCCTCTCTCCTGCTCTAGAGCAAAGAGCTTTTCTAGCAGCTCCTCTTCTGTGCCTGACTCATCTGTCTCTCATCATAATTCTGTCCTTTCATCACCATCTTCACCTGCAACAGCATTGCTAAGCTCTTCCCAAAATTCATCAGCATCCATTACTCCAAAGGCATCTCCAACAGTGGAGAAATTACCTTATGTACCACATACTCCTTTTCACCTCTTCTCGTACGACTTTGAAGAGTCTCCAGCATCTGTGAAAGAAAAGGAAGCAGAGGTGATGAGGGAAAACAGGTAGATTTTATACAGCTGACATTAATTTTTAGATAAATGAATAACACCTTTCAAGAGCTTTATAGTGGTAATAATGCACTCTCTGTGTTGTATTATTTCCAGAACATGCTGTATTTGTTTTAGTCCTGTAAGCCTGTATTTGGATTTGATTGATATTCTCCCCTTGCCTTTGCTGCCTTCATTTCGTCTTACTCCTCTTCAAGGTCTATAGTTAATAAGTATTCTGGCCTCCTCTATACAGCAGTAGATAAACAACGTGTGATTTGGGAGACCACAGAAAGGAGCACCATTTTGCTCTCATTTACAACAATGTAATTTGCAGACACGATTTCATGAAAATTAATGGAGCTGTTTTGCTATAAAACCAAAAGCGATCAGATCAGCACTTGGCATTCAGGGGTGAAATCCTGGCTTCAAAGACTGAACTGCCAAATCCCGAATTTGCTGTTAGTTTATAGTGCATATCCCCGTCATGTGTAATTTCAACTCGTGTTTGTAAGAACAGAAGTAGATTAAACCCTATAAAGAGAGTATAGCACTCAGAATAGACAGTTTTCCCTCCACAACATCTGGTCAGTTCAGTTGTTCCTCATGCATTTCTCTTAGTTTTTAATTTTAATTTTTAATTTCCCCATCCCACCCATTTAAAAACAAAAAGAAATTGTTTTGTCTCAATCTGTTTTACTTGAAAACAGATTGTCAATAGGTAGCACTAAAAACGATGCTAGAGAATCACCTTGAAAAGAAGTTGATGATTTTTAGCTGTTTCTCCCCTTGGTCAGTGTTCTTCAAATTAGGTACTGAAAATGTGCACGTATATTGTGAACATATTTATTTCTTCCTTTCTTTAGCAGTCCTTCTGAATTTCTGCATGTGAACAAATATTTTGATTCCCTTGATCCTGTTAATTTTCAGGCTTTCTCTTCTAATAGGTGGGTGGTTTTTGTTGCTTTTCATTTTGCTGAAAAGCCTGTAAATCCAAGTAGCTGTTGAAAAGGGGCGTAGTTCACATGGCTTTCCTTACCTGCAGCTTGAACACTGGGATTCCTCTAAATTTACATTTTCCTGCATAGGTACAATTTTCCCTTAGGCCTCTCACACTCATTTATTGCTCTCTCATTGCTGCTGCTGTTAGAGTTATTCCTAAATACCTCCTGTTTCATCAGTATTTAGTATTTCTGCAGTGATTTTTTTTTCCTCTGACCATCCTTGCACTTCTAGTTACCACATAGGATCAAGGGCGTGGTGTGGGGGAGGATCATGCTGGGTTTATTTGGAGAAAAAGGAGGGCAAAGCTTGCACGATTTGGGCAGTAGTGTGTTCATAGAAGAGATAAATGTCGGGGTATCTGGAGTTTCTTCAGAGTGAAGGCTTCTGGGACAAGACCATTGCATCTGCATTGGTATGTGAGACAAGAAGGGAAAATGGAAGTAATAGTCACAACCAGAGGAAGGTTAGAAAGATAAATATTGTGTACAGGGGACAGACCTACCTTGGTGTGCTGCTTTTGCCTTGCTACTCTTCCAGCATCTCTGTCTCCCTCTAAATTTTATATATAGGGATGCCGTGTCCAGGCCAGACCCTCTGACTTTGATTTTGTTAATATTTGTAGGTCTGAGTCCATAGAAGGTGTGTTCTCTCCATTTTAATGAGAGTTATCTTTGGACTAACTGAAATTCCTTGGTCTGAAAAAGGATACTGCGCTGTGTCAGCTTTTTCGTGGGGCAGAGAAGAAAAGCGAACGTGATGGTTGATAAGAAGGTCTCCTTTCAGTTGATTGAAATGGAAATGGAGGTTTCTGCTAGTGTCAGGAATATACTGAATGAGCTCTGAGTTGTTTTCAGGACAACAGAGTTCCCTCATCACTCACTCAGTTCAGGCGCAGGCAGAACGTTTTCTGAGCTGAGCCTGCCGGAGAAAAGACCCGTGTCGGGTCTGTGCTGCCAGGGAAGCCCCGCACTGCCCGGCTACACAGCCCTCCACTGGGCCACGGTCTCCAGTTTGCAGTTAGTTTTCTTCTAGGGCAGGAAT